TGTCTGTAACTGCCTTAATATTGCTCCACTTAGAAAACAATCCCAAATGTAATCTGTCCTGACCAAATTTGTCCCTAATATGCACACTGATCAATGCTCACATTAATTTACTAAATCGTATGACTAGCACAACAGTTCACTCAGGATGTACTGAATCCTCTGTCCTCTGCATCTATTCAATGACTCAGTTTTATCCGTAGTAGTTCAAGATATCTGCCCCTTTATCTTTAATTCCACTGATAACCCTCTGTTCATAATTTCAATCTGATTTGCAACATTCTAGCTGTTAATTCCAAATATAATTTTGCCTCTTAACATCTCTCCATTTTTGAGGATTTTGTTAATAGAAAAATCATATAATGTTTTTTAATGTTTTTCTGGTTCAGAAAATCTGACTTTTTCTTTTCTGAAACATTATCTCTCAAGATATTTTCTTAAGATATTTCATGAGAAAATAGACACTTGACATGTAAATTTAGAAATGCAGTTATGTATCTCCCATAGAGGACACCATTGCACATTACCATATTAAGTGTTTGTTAAAAGTCTTATAGTTGAGAAACCTATATAAAAAGTTAAACTTAGAAGTAAATATATATTAGCCTATGAAAACTCTTTTTAATGTAACAACTAATAACGTATTGCTGAACTGGTATTCTAAGAACATACCTTGACTAAAATGATAAAATAGATGCTACAAATTATCATTAAAGAGACTATAAAATGTAATTTATGCAATATAACTATAAGTTATTCTGCAAAGTAAGTAAAATCTGTTACTTCAAATGCATAAATTTTTAGAACTGAAATGGAAGTTAAGGACAATCTATTTCAAGTCCTGCATTTTATGAATCAGGTTCATAGTCATAAATGTATTTCCAAAGGTTACTTAGATTGCTGGCAGTGCTGAACTTAGAATTTCTAGCTTATTGCCCCAGTATATAAATACTATTTTTATTCAAGGTAAATAATTATATTTATTGTCCACTACTATGTGCCTAGTATATGCAAAGATATTCTCACAATTTGTCTAGCACTTAACATTACATGTGTATAGAATTCAATTGGTTGAGCATAAATTCCTTAAAGGTCAAGGCTTTCTCTAGTTTTTTGAATATCCCTTAGTGTCTAACATATTATTAAATACAACTAGTCACTGACTCAACACGTATATGTAATATACTCTTGCTTGAACAACTTCTGATATCAGATTACAAATTAAATGGGATTTATTAAGAGTGAAGATCCTATTCCTGGTTCACAGCTGATGCCTTCTTGCTGTGACTTTACATGATGGAAGGAAAAGGGACCTCTGTGGGATCTCTTTATAAAAACACTAATCCCTTCCTTCATGATCTAGTTACCTCTGAAATGCTTCCTAGTATTGAAACCTATGAGAGTTAGAATTCTACATTAAGATTTGGGGAAACACAGTCAGACCATAGCATAATCCAACCAACAATTAAAAGTTCATTTCCTAACCAACATTTTGGATTGTCAGTTTTTATTCATTTTAGTTGTAGTATCCCCCACAATAGTGCTAATTTGTATTTTTTGATGAGGAATAATGTTGAGCATCTTATACCATCCTTATTGGCCCTATGTACATAATCTATTGAAAAGTTCCTATACAGTCTTGTTTTGCTGATGTTTTACTTTAGGCTTGATGTGTTCATTAACAAAAGAACCCACTTATCACACACAATAATTTTGATATTTAATAGATTATTTGCCTTAATTTCAGTATGTGTGCATGCTAAGTTGCTTCAGTCATGTCTGATTCTTTGTAACCCTATGGACTGTAGCCCGCCAGGCTCCTCTGTCCATGGGGTTCTCCTGTCAAGAATACTGGAGTGGGTTGCCATGCCCTTCTTCAGAGGATCTTCCTGACCCAGGGATGAGACTTGGATCTCTTATGTCTCCTTCATTGGCAGCAGGTTCTTTACTACTAATGCCACCTGGGAAGCCCAACTTAATTTCAGTATACAATTATTAAAAGAGGAAATGTAGAGACAATAGAGAAAAGTAACAGCACACACATCCTCAAATTCTGCCATTCAATATCCAGACTTGACCAGTGCTGGAAAGTCCCTTGTTAACACTAATCTGGAGTCCCAACTGGGAAGAGGTCCCAGGAGGTGCTTCCACCCCATTGGCAAGACTTCAAACTGCTGTTTGGGGGGGTTGCAATTGCTTGTACCCCAGGGCACAGCCTGATACTGTCATCGGTTTGCACGCAAAAATGCAGCTCTGGTTTAACTTTAACTTTTACAATGCTGTTTCTTTCACCTTATAAGTCATAAGACTTCTTAGACCTGGGGGTAGAGGGGACAGTGGGAAGCTGGCCAAGCCCTGGGGGCTTAAAAGATTCCAAGACCCACTTCATTTCTTATCTAAACTGCTGCCTGATTTGCTGTGCTTGCCAGCAGGCTCGGAATGCAGGCAGTGTGCAGGCCGGTCAGAAGCAGCTCAGAGGCCTGCTATTGCTCTCCTGCTTCTGAAGCCTGAATAAGACTTCCTCCATTTTAATTTCCTTAACAAATCTTTAATCCATTTTAAGCAAATATTTATTTGTAGTTCTTTATACATTTTTATTATATAATCTTAAGATATATGAATTTCAAATACTTGCTCACAACTTGCCTTTTCAATATCTTATGGTATTTCCTTTGATGAACAGAATTTCTTGATTTTAATGAAATACAGTTATCAGTATTTTATTGTGTTTAATTGGTGCTGTCTATATCCTGATTCAAAAATGCTTGCCAACTTCATCATAAATATATTCTCCTGTGTTTTTTCTCCTAACATTTAATGTTTTACCTTTCACATTTAGATGGTTGAATTCTCTTGAATCAATTTTTGTGTATGATACTAGATTGGGTAATACATATTTTTAACAGGGTCAGCTATTAAGACAGTAGAGTGCAGAAAGGTGCAAGGATGTATAAGAAGTAGGTCAATCAGTACACAGCTTCAGTTTGGGTTTGTTATTTATCTTGTCACTTTGCAGTGTAATGCATCTTGAAATTTAAAAAATAAGTAAATTATAATAACATATAATTAAATCAGTTTTCTCTGATCACCACAAGTTACAATTTTATGAATGTTATAACATGTTGTACCATTTCTTTTCAGTGGTGCACCCAAATCAGTCTTCTACATTGCTCTTAGAAATTGTATTATTTAATGCTTTCGGTCACTTTTCAGAAGCAATATTATGGAGAAGCAAGAGCACTGAACTGGCAGTTTGCTCACTTGAATTCAAGATCTGTATCAGTCATTAATTAGCTATGGCTTGTTAAGTAGCATGCTCATAGCTTTTTCTGTTCAACTCCCTTTTTTTCTGGAAGCAATAACCCACTTCTCCTGGAAGCTACACCTATCCACTCCACCCTTAAACTCAGACATTTACATTAATATTTGCAGTGTTTTGACATATTCATATTTCCTGACCCTTTTGTAGTCCACCAAATATGTGCTAATCTCCTGCGGCTTTTGACCTCAAGCATATTGGTTCAGTAGTGGGATACTTCCCTATCATTTCTGTGCTCAAGCTTTGTGAACCTAATCCATGAAGAAAAGTAGTCATACTGTTTTGACTAGGCCCTCCTTATGCAGATCCCTTCATGCTCATGTTTTTTATATATCAGTGTTCCAAGTCCAAAAATTTCCATAGATCAGGTAGTACTATAGCATTTACTATTGAAAAAAATCCACGAATAAGTGAACCCACATAGTTCAAATCCATATTGGTGAAAGGACAATGTTGCATATGTATATTTGTGCATACATTTAAATATATATATATATTTCTGGATTCAAGTACTTTATGATATGATTTAGAAGGTATAGCACTGCTACCAAATATAGTTTTAAAATGTGTTAATATTTGCAGTGTCATGAGAAAATAGGTTATCCATTCATTTCACTAGTGATTTTAATGAAGTTTATTACAAATTGTCATTTATCACTTTATTTGTTATTTACGACTACACTTTAAAGATGTATACCATAGCTGTGATCCAATGTAGACATAAACAAAATACTGTCTAAATTGTTTTTGATGGAATATCAGTTCCTGCATTTGTGAACATGTCCTGATAGCATTGCTCTTTCCTTCCTGATTCCGATGGCATCAGTGACTGAGAATGTGCATGCATTCTCTTCTTTTTCTCTGCCCATGCTGCGTGAACATTACACATTTCCTTCCACTTTTGAATATAAAGGAAAAATAGCCTTTAAATGTGCTTTTCCATTATTTTTTGCTATGGATCTTTAAATAATTTTGAAACAGGAAGTCTCACTCTTCTGAAATCTGTTTCCTATAGACTGTAAATGTGTTGATTTATCACTTAAAGTCACTTTTCTGTGAAACTCCCTAAGTTGATGGAGAAAAATTGGTGCAAACAACTGGCTATAATGTTAAGACATTTCTTTTTTCAACAGGTCTGTCTGCAATCTCATAGAAAATCTGGTTAGGAAATTGTGTAAAAACAGAAATATATTTTAAAGGAAACAAAGATCAACATTTGGAAATGTGTTTCTTTTTTGAACATGGTAGTAAATGGAAAGAGGAATCAGAAATTGAAAGTTTATTTATGAAATGATAGAAAAATTCAAATAAAATTAGTTCTGACTCAGAAAAGAATAGCTATGAAAAAGAAGTAGCAAATAGAATTGCATATGAAAATGGATCTTAATACATACTTAGTCATGTTGGTTAGCATCACCAATGTCTCAATTATTGCTATTTAAGTGTGTATTTTCAAGACTGAAATATCACTCGTGTATTTGAATATTATTAGCTATATGCACTGAATGTATGTGTGTCTACAATATTGAATGCTAATACACATGTTTTAAATATGACTTATGGAATTTGTGAAGAGATGTATGAGAATACACATTAAATGTCATAGAATGTCATAAATGTCAAAGGTATGCTTATGATTCCTACCAAATTGTATATAAATCCACATCAACTCTCTATTTATTAGGTATATCTATGTTTTATATTTCAGAGATGATTAACATAATGAAGAAAGAACAGATTCGGGGGGTTTCTGTATGTCTGCTGCTTAGCTGTGCTTCTGCCCTTCTCAATGATGTTCCTGAGGAAGGTGAAGAATATACAAACATTACAGGTAAAGTGTTAGAAGCATTCATCCTTTTAATCCAAAGATGAATATATTTTTCTTCATCTTGAAAAAAAAGAAGTGTTATTGAAATGATATTTGTTCAAAACCTTAGTACAAAAAAAGTCACTTTAGGGAAGAAGATCTCTCATTTCTCAGATTGTATATGAAAACCTGAAGTATCTCTGGAAAATTGCAAGTAAAAAAAATGATATAGATATAGCTCTCTACGAACCTTGATGTCACCTTTTGACTGGGGAAAGTGTAAGAAGGAAAAGGAAATGGCAGACATTGAAGGATTCAGTTTTCCTGTCTTCTCACCTTTATATTCCTCAAACAAGAACTTCTCATATGAGTCCAATGTGAGAATACAGTCAAGCTGGATACCAGGAGATGGGGATAACAGAAGATAGTTCTACTGCCATAAAGTTCTGTGCTTAAAAATAAAATACAGCTGACTCTTGAGCAATGCAGGAGCTGGTGCACCCTCAGTGAAGTACAGCATCCACGTGTAACTTATACTCAGTCGCATCCTATCCATATGTGAAAAGTAAAGGCTTATTGTTATATGCCACTAGAAAAAAAATATATTGTTGGGAAAATTTCCTAAAGATGGAATGTTATTTGATAAAGTTAAAAACCATTTTGTGTCTTATCAAACTAGGAATGTCGTCACTATGAGATGAGATCTAATCCTTCATTGTGCTCATTTCTCAAAAAAGGGATGGCTAAAATTTTAATATTCCGGAGGTAGGTAGAGAAGGAACACGGAGATTAAAGTAAATCCCAATAAGAGAAAAGCAGGCAATCCCATTTTAGGAAGTGGGAGGAGAAAGAGTCCATGTGTTCCCAGTATTCACCTAGTCTAAGAAGTTTTCTCAATTAGGTTGAGAAAGTGCATGCCAGTTAATCAGGAGGTTCCTGAAGTTGTTGCTACTGCCACAGTCAGCCAAGAAAACAGAATTAACCCATCAATGATTAAATCCAAGTTTAAAATCTCTGGGTAAATACAGACCAAATCCAGCTGGATAAGGATAAATCTTGATTGTAAAGCCAGATGTGAAGACCACTTAGCTGACTGGCTGCACAGACTTATGCAGTTTGTTTGTTTGTTTGTTTTTCAATTAATCTTGTGTCAGCATGATCCTTTGTCTGTCTCAGGGCTTCCCTGGTAGCTCAGATGGTAAAGAATCCACCTGCAATGCAGGAGACCCTGCTTCGATTCCTGGGTCAGGAAGATCCCCTGGAGAAGGGACAGGCTATCCACTCCAATATTCTTGGGCTTCCCTGTTGGCTCAGATGGTAAAGAATCTGTCTGCAGTGTGGGAGACCTGGGTTCAATCCCTGGGCTGGGAAGATCCCCTGGAGGAGGGCATGGCAACCCACTCCAGTATTCTTGCCTGGAGAATCCCCAGGGACAGAGGAGCCTTCGGGGCTAGAGTCCATGGGGTCCCAAAGAGTCAGACACAACTGAGTGATTAAGCACAGTGTCTGTCTCAATTCAATTTTGGAGATATCATCTATTACATTATGGCATGGTCACACCATCATGTTATAGAAGTTCAGTGAAATAATCTACTAGTATTTTATTGAAAAACATACGAGATTTTATGGCTTCTGTCAAAAGTCAATAGTAGACATTTTAAAATTAAGTCAACCAGCAGGGAGGATGAAATAGAGAAACTTCTCAATAAAACAAAAATGACAAAAAAAATTGTGGTGAAAACTTTCTTAAAAAACATTCCTTTGGACTAGGAGAGACAAAATTATCAGGGAACATTTAGAGAAAAGCAAGTATATTTCATAACATTTAGAATCAGATGGGCCTAAATATGCATTTGTAGTTTGTCACATGGCAGCTTTGCAAAATTAGATGAGTTGATATAAACTCTCTGACTCCCAGTGTCCTAATCTATAAATAAGTGATGCAAATAACTACATTCAGATGGTTGTTATATAAACTGCATAAAAGCATCTGGCACATTTCCTAGCACAGAGGCGGCAGAGTACATGTCTGTGTTCTATCTTTCCAGAGAAACCAGCCTCTTAGTGAGAGAGTCAAGTCGTATGTAGACGCCCAGGCAGTAAGTGACCTTAAAGTTCTAGGTTTCCAAACAAACTCCAGGATGAGGAGGATTCTAACAACCAAGGACTTAACACATCCCCAAACATTGTCCTGAGCCTTCCCTTCAATATCCCAGGATAGGGGGAAGGAAGAGTGAAATTGTAATCCTCAGACTGTGAAAAATAAAATACAAGAAATTAACTATGAAAATGATTAAATATGAACCATAACTCTGTTTATTTCAATACATCAGATTAAATTCCTGTTACATTGCCCTGTATGTGTTTTCTAGTTGTATGGCCTTAGGCAGATCCTTGTCACAGTCAATGATTTCTTCAAGTCTCAGGAAGGAAAGTTACCCCTGACCCACTCAGAGAAGCTTAAGTAGCTTATTAAACATCGTCACAGCATCTTGAAGTTCTTTAATATTTATATAAGTAAGTCTGAGTGTCTCCATGCGCCATGAAGTCAGGGCGTGGGGTGGAGGTTACTGACAATTTTCTATCACATCTGCCATGACAGTACAGTGCTTGACATACACCATCAGCGATCAGCACACAGCTGTTAACTTTTGAAAAGGTTTATCTAAAATAAAAAGTGAAAACAAGACAGACTTTCATTCAATTTTAGTGGTGGCATGGCTTTGTGTTTAAAGGGGCCATGTGATCACTCCCCCAATCAGGAATGATGTTGCCCAAGTGGGAGGTCACAAGCTCACAGCACAAAAGAATAAAGAATATTCTAATGCAGGGTTTCTGTAAGAAATACAATAAAATGTGAACGGCAAAAATGAATTATTAGATCATAATTAGTAAAGTATGTTAATCAAATAATAATTGACTAGCACTAATAATTCTTAGTGCGTTCTTTAGGAAATTGCTATAAAATCATTACCTGCTCTCATCACTGAAACTTTTTACAATGTTATGTGGCGGCCTGGAAGGGAGGGAAGTTTGGGAGAGAATGGATACATGTGTATGTATAGGTTGAGTCCCTCTGCTGTTCACCTAAAACTATCAGAACATTGCTAATTGGCCATGTCCCAATACAAAATAAAATTTTTTTAGAAAAAGGGAAAACAAACAAACAAAAAAAAACTATTCTAATTTTTATAAAGTAAAATTTAGAAAAATTTATTAAGCAGAAATTGTAAAAGTCAATCTATGTTCTTGATCTAAATGTCAATTAAGGAATCTCAGTCACACAGATCTGTGACTGTATCCCTCAGTTATTAAGAAGGTGTGAGATGTCTGATATAAAATTATCTGGGGGTCAGATCTAAAGCCATCACTTAAAGTGTGAACTGAGAATTTACTTTTTGCAGTATTATTTTATAATTTGCAAAATGGAGATAAAAAATGCCTAATTCACATTTTTAAATAACGTAATTCCAAAATGTGTGGCGCACAGCAGTTTCCGTAGACCGTTCGCCGTCTTCCCTTTCGCGTCTGCAGGCAATTCCCTTCTGTTTGTGGTGCGCTGGCGCCACCTGGTGGCACGATCACTACATAGCAGGGTGAAAATAGGCTGTTATTTCTATCCTTGAAACATAAAATGCAAAACAAAAATTTGGCATGATGATAAAGAATATCAAATACATGAAAAGTCAAAAACATTGGCAATTATCAAGGATAAAAACCTGATAAAAGTTACTATAAGAAATAGCTTCCCTACATATACAGCATATGGCAACTCAGGTAATGCTTTCCACATTCCACAGGTGTCCTCATTAAAGGTGCTTGTCTGAAGCACTGCTGTAGTGATTTGGCGTCTGTAAAGGTCCACAACACCTGTAACTTGGGAATCAGGACCATCGTGTTATATGAGAAGTGCCCTGCTGTGTTGTGCGGTGCTCCGTCACTCGGTTGCGTCCGACTTTTTGTTTGTTACCCCATGGGTATAGCCTGCCAGGCTCCTCCGTCCATGGGGATTCTCCAGGGAAGAATACTGGAGTGGGTTGCCATGCCCTCCTTCAGGAAATCTTCCCAACCCAGGGATCGAACCCGCATTGCAGGCAGATTCTTTACCAGCTGAGCTACCAGGGAAGCCCAAGAATACTGGAGTGGGTAGCCTATCACTTCTCCAGGGGATCTTCCGGATCCGGGACTCAAACCAGGACCTCTTGCATTGCAGGCGGATTCTTTACCAACTGAGCTACCAAGGAAGCCCTAGGAATCTCTGAAATAATGGAGTGTACTTATACAATTCAAAAATGTCAGAATATTTGTATTCTAGCTCATTTCTCAAAATTATTGACATGACTTCTGGGATTCTGAGATCTGATCATAAGATCAGATATTTATAAAACTGATAAGTCAAAATTTGATCAGCCCTATCTAGAGTAGATAAACCTAAAATGATAATTCAGTGACACATGGTGAGCCATTTCTCAGTCAGATGTACCACATAGTGTCTTTGTTGCAAAGCCTTCTAAATTCTCACAACTTTCTAACAACTTGGAATGTCAAGTATAAAAGTATCAGTCTTTAAGTAAATATAGGAATACAAATAGCATTCACAAATATGCAAAAATGTATTACTCAGAAAATGCTTTCATTTATTTTGAATTTGAATTGACAATTGTAACTTCAGTGATAAAGGGAAACTATATATTTTTCATAAGTCATTTTTTGTTTATATACAGTTATATATAATACTCTAAAATGCTATTATATATTAATTTCTATAGAAAGAAGTTCTTGAGTGTATAGTGTAAAAGCGAAAGTCGCTCAGCCGTGCCCGACTCCTCGTGACCCCATGGACTATACAGTCCACGGAATTCTCCAGGCCAGAATACTGGAGTGGGTAACCTTTCCCTTCTCCAGGGGATCTTTACAACCAGGAATCAAACCTAGGTCTCCCACATTGCAGGCAGATTCTTTACCAGCTGAGCCACAAGGGAAGCCCAAGAATACTGGAGTGGGTAGCCTATCCCCTCTCCAGAGGATCTTCCTGACCCAGGAATCGAACCGGGGTCTCCTGCATTGCAGGTGAATTCTTTACCAACTGAGTTACCGGGGAAACCCTTGTGTGTTTACTTTAAGAAAATAAATTACTTGGAATTTGTAGTAAATTACATAAATTTTCACAATTAGGGAATAGTTTAATGTAGTAAGATATATACACATAAATATGAACATAGATACCCTGTTAATTTTTTTCATAAGGCTTGGTTGGAGTCATGTACCAGACCTAATATTGTTGCTTTTAAAGATTTGTTTTATATGTAAAAAATGATGCAACTATTGATTAGGGAGACACCTCTATGACTCAATTACATATGGTCAACTGATACAAGTTTAAGCAAAACAAGAATCTATTAAAAATTTCAAAATTTTCCCCTAATAGTTGGTTAATAACCAACAGTTTAATAAAGTTGGTAAGACCTGTCTCATTTGGTGAGTTTATGTATTTATCTACCTTTTGGATAACTTTCATAGTTTCTTATTGCAGTCTGTTTTATTATTGTTGTACTTTTCCTCAAAATTAAAATGTATTAAAAAGGAAGTGAAAAGGAAGCAGCATTATTACAGTGTTGATGAAGGATAATATGTTACCTTTTATTTTTACATTGTAGATGCTGAGATGCCCCCATTGAAACTTGTACATTCATTTTGTGCAATGAGAGCAGACGATGGCCCATGCAAAGCAATGATAACGAGATTTTTCTTCAATATTCATACTCAGCAATGTGAAGAATTTATATATGGAGGATGTGAAGGAAATCAGAATCGATTTGAAACTCTGGAAGAGTGCAAACAAAAATGTACAAGAGGTAGGCTTTTGGAGACACTATCATCCAGAAACCTTTCAGGTTATTAGATCTGATCATAGATTTGATAATGTTAGAAAAAAAGTTAAACTATTTTAACATTACAAGGAATCTTTTTTTTATTTTTTATGTTTTCAGCTTTAACAATTACTCTTTTTTAATTTTTTGTATCAATTATTATAAAATACATTAAGCTTATTGTCCTATACACTTCTCCATGATGAAGAGGGAAGAAAACCCTTAAGTGTGCAGAACAGATTTTATATCTACAACAAATTAACTGTAATTCCATCTCTTTAGGGAGCTATGAGTTCACAAGAAATAAATCATTATTCACAGTGATTTAGACTTTCCTTTTTCAACACTATGATGTCATAGTTGTTTCCGTGTCAAGATAATGAATTAATCCATCTTGAGGTTCTCAGTAGTTAGAAAATTATAGAAATATATATATATGCGTTAAATCCTTCTCTTTGGAACCTTGGAATAATGTAGAAAATATTATCTCCAGTGGCTTATGAAGACCTTACTGAACCTGACTTTTCTTTTCTTATTTTACTAAGTTATAAGTTTGAAAAGCACATCACATTCTGTTATTAAACTTAATTTAATGCTTTTATTCTTTTCATTGTATTAAAACTTTTAAAATTCTACAAATTACAATGTTTTATGTGGCTTTCTCTCTTTAGACTAAAATAAATTCTAAATAATTACTTTTTCAATTTTATGTCAGTTTTATTCTTCTGAATTGAGAGCTACTTGAGAGGTAGAAAATCCCGAGTTAGCCTTATTTCCATAGTTTCTAGCCCCAGATTTCCGCCTTGCACGTTTTTAGAGTTGAGTTACATTGTAAGTCTATAGATGGCCTCTTTAGTTAACACTGGTGTCTTGTTTTTTGCAAAGCAGGTGGCTTGGCATTTTCACACTGATAATGCTTTCCCAAACCGCTTTTACAAGACAGTCTTGGCATCGTGATGACCTTGGCTTGTGGGAAAAATCTCAGTGTGGTGAAAAGAAAGAGCTTTTCTACCCTGCAATTGTTGTATGCCCCTGAGCTGACATAAAAGAAATGATGTGAATGTATTTCTTTATTTCAGAGCACTTATTTCCCTCTTCTTCTCCATAGATGTGCTGGAAATGTTACTAACACAGATTAGGCAGTTCGGTGTTTCTCTGTGGTACATTTGGTTTTGTGATTGCCTGGTAATTTTCCATCCATCACAGATTTCTATACCTTGTCCTCTTCCATGCCATACCAAGTATCCTTTTGTATTGAGTGTTACTCAAGTTCAGTACCTTGGCTAAAGGTCAGGTTGCCTCATTCTTGGTAATCCTCACTTTCTCATGTAGCAGCCTACTTATTTTCATCAACTGGACTTTTTCCTGAAATACATGTCTATTTAGCTTTTATCAAAAATCTCTTATTTCATCATTGTGACATTACTCTTTTTTTCAGAAATTAATCAAATATAATCATTTTGTTCTTCAGTAGGTGTCCTGTTGTAATATTTTCTGAAATATCATTACTACCTAACATAACTATATGTCTTTTGCCCCCATCTCATAATTTCCTCAAAAGTCATTGACATTATTGCTTGAATATCTGAGTATTTTATATAGTAAGCTACAGTTAAGCATATAGCTGACATACAGAAAAAGAATTACTAAACTTTAAAGAAATCACCTAAGGAGAAAATTCCTTACATCCATCAGCTATGATGGAGTAACTGGAGCTGAATTTCTCTCCTAATGTAAATAACTAAAAACTGGAGAAAGAAAAATGTATGAAGCAACTTTTTTACAGACAGTGATCAAAATTCAGTACATGACTGTGATCTCTGAGAGGAGGGAACAAGTGAGGTGAGGTGTCCATCTCTCCAGTGTTCTGCATGAAGCCACTTCTGCAAAAAAGGAAAGTGGCTGTCTGAGGAGGCCTTACAAATAGCTGTGAAAAGAAGGGAGGCAAAAGCAAAGGAGAAAGGGAAAGATATTTCCATTTGAATGCAGAGTTCCAAAGAATAGAAAGGAGAGATAAGAAAGCCTTCCTCAGTGATCAGTGCAAAGAAATAGAAGAAAACAATAGAATGGGAAAGACTAGAGATCTCTTCAAAAATTAGAGATATCAAGGGAATATTTCATGCAAAGATGGGCTCAATAAAGGACAGAAATGGTATGGACCTAACAGAAGCAAAAGATATTAAGAAGAGGTGGTAAGAATACACAGAAGAACTGAACAAAAAAAGATCTTCACAACCCAGATAATCACAATGGTGTGATCACTGACCTAGAGCCAGACATCCTGGATGTGAAGTCAAGTGGGCTTTAGGAAGCATCACTACACACAAATCTCATGGAGGTGATGGAATTCCAGTGGAGCTATTTCAAATCCTGAAAGATGATGCTGTGAAAGTGCTATACTCAATATGCCAGCAAATTTGGAAAACTCAGCAGGGGCCAGAGGATTGCAAAACATCAGTTTTCATTCCAATCCCAAAGAAAGGCAGTGCCAAAGAATGCTCAAACCACTGCACAATTGCACTCATCTTACATGCTAGTAAAGTAATGCTCAAAATTCTTCAAGCCAGGCTTCAGCAATACGTGAACCATGAATGTTCAAGTTGATTCAAGTTGGTTTTGGAAAAGGCAGAGGAACCAGAGATCGAATTGCCAACATCTAATGGATCATTGAAAAAGCAACAGAGTTCCAGAAAAACATCTATTTCTGCTTTATTGACTATGCCAAAGCCTTTGACTGTGTGGATCACAATAAACTGTGGAAAATTCTGAAAGAGATCAGAATACCAGACCACCTGACCTGCCTCTTGAGAAATCTGTATGCAGGTCAGGAAGCAACAGTTAGAACTGGACATGTAACAACAGACTGGTTCCAAATAGGAAAAGGAGTACCTCAAGGCTGTATATTGTCACCTTGCTTATTTAACTTATATGCAGAGTACATCATGAGAAACGCTGGGCTGGAGGAAGCACAGGCTGGAATCAAGATTGTCGGGAAAAATATCAATAACTTCAGATATGCAGATGACACCACCCTTATGGCAGAAAGTGAAGAGGAACTGAAGAGCCTCTTGATGAAAGTGAAAGAGGAGAGTGAAAAAGTTGGCTTAAAGCTCAGCATTCAGAAAACTAAGATCATGGCATCAAGTCCCATCACTTCATGGGAAATAGATGGGGAAACAGTGGAATCAGTGGCTGACTTTATTTTGGGGGGCTCCAAAATCACTGCAGATGGTGATTGCAGCCATGAAATTAAAAGATGCTTACTCCTTGGAAGGAAAGTTATGACCAACCTGGACAGCATATTGAAAAGCAGAGACATTACTTTGTCAACAAAGGTCCATCTATTCAAGGCTATGGTTTTTCTAGTGGTCATGTATGGATGTGAAAGTTGGATTATAAAGAAAGCTGAGCACCAACGAATTGATGCTTTTGAACTGTGGTGTTGGAGAAGACTCTTGACAGTCCCTTGGATTGCAAGGAGATCCAACCAGTCCATCCTAAAGGAGATCAGTCCTGGGTGTTCTTGGGAGGACTGATGTTGAAGCTGATACTTCAATACTTTGGCCACCTGCTATGAAGAACTAACTCATTGAAAAAGACCCTGATGCTGGTAAAGACTGAAGGTGGGAGGAGAAGGGGACAACAGAGGATGAGATGGTTGGATGGCTTCACCAACTCAATGGACATGGGTTTGGGTGAACTCCGGGAGTTGGTGATGGACAGGGAGGCCTGGCGTGCTGCAGTTCATGGGGTCACAAAAAGTTGGACATGACCAAGCAACTGATCTGAACAGAACTTCTGGACCACAGTTAAAAGAGGGAAGTACAAGCATAGCCCACCAGTCTCCCTGGTGAAGGATGTGGAGATTGGAGACTGGTAAACTGAAGTGGTTATGTTCTTAGGGACAGTATGTGAAACAGAATGGACATAGAAAGTGAAAAACCTAAAAATTTTGGATAAGGGTCCCATGGAGTTTGTTGGTAAATAATAAAGCTGCATGTACTTGATGAAATTTCATGAACTGAGAAAGTAATTAAAGGGATTTGTAAGTGGAATACCCCCCAGAGCTCCCACAATTAAGAGAAATTTTGCATTTAATTTAGTACTAGAGTGAAATTAGACCTAGAGTAAAAGCTACTTTACACTTGCCATAGCAAAGCTTCAGCCAAGCCTTAAAAATTCATAATTAACTACTTGCCAAAAAAGCACTTCTTTAATTTCTGTGTTCTGTCACTCATTTGTGTCCTACCTTTTGCGACCCTATAGACAGCAGCACACTAGTTTTCCCTGTCTTTCACTGGCTCCCGGAACTTGCTCAAACTCATGTCTTTCACTGGCTCCCGGAACTTGCTCAAACTCATGTCCATCAAGTCAGTGATGCCATCCAACCATCTCATCCTCTGTAGTCCCCTTCTCCTCCTGCCTTCAATTTTTCCCAGCATCAGCTTGTTTTCCAGTGAGTCAGCTCTTCACATTGGGTGGACAAAGTACTGGAGTTTCAGCTTCAGCATCAGTCCTTCCAATGAATATTCAGGGCTGACTTCCTTCAGGATGGACTGGTTGGATCTCCTTGCAGTCCAAGGGACTCTCGAGAGTCCTCTGCAGCATCACAAATCAAAAGTATAAATTCTTCAGCACTCAGCCTTCTTTATGGTCAAATTCTCACATCCGTACATCACTAATGGAAAAACCATATGGTTTTTTGACAATATGGACCTTTGTTGGTAAAGTGATATCTCTGCTTTTTAATATCCTGTCTAGGTTTGTCATAACTTTTCTTCTGAGCAGCAAGTGTGTTTTCATTTCATGGCAACAGTCATCTTCTGCAGTGATTTTGGAGCCCAAGAAAACAAAATCTCCTACTGTTTCCATTGTTCCCCCATCTATTTGCCATGATCTTAGTTTTTTGAATATTGAATTTTAAGCCAGGTTTTTTCACTCTCCTCTTTCACCTTCATCAAGAGGCTCTTTTAGTTCTCCTTTGCTTTCTACCATGAGGGTGGCGTCATCTGCATATCTGAGGT